TTCTCTGGTCCTGCTACTCAAACACCAGCCCAGTGGGCTAAATATCACCAGTAGTAATGCCCAGGACCCCAGAGAAGTGCTTGGAGACCATTCCAAAATTAAATAAATCAGTACAACTAAAATTTATGGTTTCTAATTTCACTCTGCTAAGAAACAAACTCAAAATTGTTGGCAAAGTAAGCAACCAATGAGGAGGACTATAGTAAAGGTAGGTTTTCATATGGTAATGAGCATATAGCGGATACCTGCTATTGACACAAAATGAACAATGTGCATAAAATTGATCTTTAAGGAGAACCAGTTTTTTTTTTGATTGCCTTTAGACATCTTCTCATTTTTGACTACACTGTTCCACTATTCTTATTTTATATGGCAAATGACATCCCTTCCATTGTCAACTCAGATGCAACTCAATGTTATGGAAATAGTGTTGAGAAAAAAATGTTTTTTCACTGTTAGATATTTCAACACATCTCTTTGGAATGTATGAAGTAGCATATTCATTGTGTGTAGTTTAAAATGTAAAAATATATCTTAATATGTTAAAATGTTTTCCAAAACAATTCTTTATAACCCCTTTTCTGTACAATCTTAGGTAATGCTGAATTGGTACAGGCAAAAAAATAAAACAGTATAGTATCAACAAATCATATTAAAACTAATAGTTTATTTAGAATAAGGGCTGGGATGATAGAACAGCAGATAGGGTGTTCACCTTGCACTCAGCCAACCCAGGTTCGATTCCTCTATCCCTCTCGGAGAGCCCAGCAAGTTACCAAGAGTATCCCGCCCACACAGCAGAGCCTGGCAAGCTACCTGTGGTGTATTCGATATGCCAAAAACAGTAACAACAAGTCTCACAGTGGAGACATGACTGGTGCCCGTGCCCGCCTGAGCAAATCGATGAACAATGGGAAAACAGTGCTATAGTACAGTTTAGAATAAAGAAATATTTAATGATGTAAAACTTCATTTTAGTCTGTTCTTTTGGTTCTACTAAAGAACTTTTCACAGCATACAATTTTAACCATATAAAGTATTTTCTTCATTAGGAATAACTCTACAGAGTTGAGTTCACACTTTTCATCCAAAATTATACCAGAGTCCAACTGATTGTATTTCTTATCCACAAGGTACTTTATAAGATTTAATCAATAATGCAATTAGTAGAGTTATATCACAGAATTAGCACAAGTTTAATCCTTTTCCACTTAATTTATAAATTCATATTATAAAATGCAATGTTGAAAAAAGGTGAAGTAAATTCAAAAAACAGAGAAAACTGCATTGGCCCCCAGACAGTTTCCTTCTGTAAACGTGAGGATCAGAATGATCGGTCCATTTAACGACAGAGAAACCATGCTTGGAACAGAACTGGGCCACCATTTCCACCACTAGGTTTGTCTCCTATATTACACTGTTTCATCTGGCAAGCACAGGACTTGATTGATTCCTATACAGCTATCAAACATAAAATAAAGTATGATCAGAGAAACGCATGAAGCAAGCCACTGTGTCCTGTTCTACCGATTCCTGACTAAATCTCCCAGGAGAAGGACAGCAAGGAGCTAAAAGTCATGGAATCACCAGTCCACACAATGGAAAACTCCAGGGTGCCCTCGGAGGCAGGAGGGTCCAAAACCGGATGGCAGAACTCCAGCAACTGCACCCACACACCACCATGCAGCCAAGTCAAGGGTTCAACTCCACCGCTTCATGAAATTCTCTGCAGAGATGTCAATCTGTGAATTTGGGGTACCCAGCACCCAAGCTATGAGCGCTGGATTTTTTGGAATTGGGGTGGGTAGCCTCTCCCCAAACCCCCATATTTCCAGAAGCCCCGGCACCCATGCCCAGCTCCCATGGGCACCACTATGTTGACTCATATTTCCAGATTACAGGTCCTCAAGTCTCTGAACCACATGGCCACATGAAACCTCCCAAAGTAACAAAAAGCTGAATAAATCCTTAGACAAGGACTTAATCCTGTGATGAAACACAACAATTTCACATAACTTGATATTTATTCATATTGACTTTAATATTGGAGCTTTGTTCTCTAGTCAGTTCTAGAAATGCATCAAGAGTTGTGACTTTTGTTCATATTTAAATGAGTTTTTAATTATTATAAATAAGTAAATCATTGTTACTAAAACTATAAATAAATCATTGTTACAAAAGATAAAAAAGAAAGAAAAGAGTGAATCAAAATAACTGATTTATGTAAAAGTCACCCAGGTAGAGTTGAAAAATTAGAATTCTGTATTTGACCAAAGAACTTTTTGAAGTGTATTGTTATATGGTCTGCTTTCAAGATATGTATATTTTTGCAAGTTATCACATCCAAAAATGTTCATTAAACATTCTCAAATATATTACATAAATACATTATAAAACTTTAATTATATTTTATTAAAAACTCTGCTTCTTCTATCTTATTTATTTCTTTTGTATTTAGCACCAGTGATCAAATTCAGTGAATTACACATGTGTCACAAGTGTTCCACAACCATTTTATCTCTCTCAAGTAAGCCGAGCTGCTGTGCAGGATAACAAATGTAGCCTCTCTCTCTCTCTCTCTCTCTCTCTCTCTATATATATATATATATATATATACATATATATATATAGCCTATATATATAAATACGTATTTTGGGATGGAACAATAGCACAGCGAATAGGGCATTTGCATTGCATGTGGCCAAACCGGGCTCGATTCCTCCACCCTTCTCAGAGTGCCTGGCAAGCTACTCAGATTATCCTGCCTGCATGCAGAGCCTGGAAAGCTCCCCATGGCGTATTTGATATACAAAAAACAGTAACAACAAGTATCACAATAGAGATGTTACTGGTGCCCACTCGAGCAAATCGATGAACAAGGGAGGACAGTTCTACAGTGCTATAATATATAAAGTATATATGTAAATATGTATATAAAATGTTTATACCATACTTGGTATATGATAAACTAATACAATAGCTATTATAAAGCAATTTAGCTGTAATAAAAAAACTTGATAGTATTAAGATATCAAAATGTAAAAAAGTGTAATGTACATTTTTTTTAAAAAATAGCCTATATAAAATAATAATTTGCTAGGATAAATTCACTGGTATCAATTTGAAAAATAAATTTCTATGGGAAATTCAAACTGATAAAAGTGACCTTTTAATTATTATTTCCATTTCTTCTAAATGGCAATAAATGGCATATGTGCATACATGTGCGCGCGCGCACACACAAACACACACACACACGGTATCCAGTGTCTAGAGGTCTCGAGGCCATACCTGGTGTTACACAATAGGGACGTAAAGTATTGTTCTGGCCCAGCTGTGTAGCAAAGCTCACGGGGCAAAGTCAACACTGCTGGAGATGGGGGAGAAATGCCATGCTAGGGAAGACACTCAGCTCTCATGCAAGTCAGATATTCACACCCGAATTTTCAACTACCTCCCATATATTTCAAATGGCATAATATATATATATATAACTGAAATTAAATGATAGCACATGCATAAAAAAAGATAGTTTTATTATCATGTATAAAAATCAAGGTAAATTTGATGCTAAACATCTCTCATCCCATTTTTCAAGAAATAAAATATCATTGAGAGAAAATATACAATGATGAGCCGGGGATGATGGGGCGACTAAAACCTCATGGGAACGGGGCGTTCTGGCCCGTCGTTCACGCCCTACCGAGGTCACCAGTTGCCCCCCACGAGCGGCTCTCTGGCACGGCCACGGCCCCAGAAGCACAAGGACTTAATGCAGAACCCAGCAGCTTGGAGCAGAAAAGTGAACAGACTATGTGTTAATCCACACCATCATGTCTGCCCAGAGGGGAAAGGGTGTTGCTCCCTACCACCCTCTCCTCTCTGGAAAGAAAGATGGCGGCCACAGGGGAGCCTTGTGGAGAGCCAGGTATGAGCTGGTGGTGATGGAGTGACTAAAAACTCATGGGAAGGGGGGGAGTTCCGGCCTGTCCTTCATGCCCTACCGAGGTCACCAGTTGCCCCCCATGAGCGGCTCCCTGGCACGGCCACGACTCCAGAGCAGAGAAACCAATCTCTTAATTATCTGACTTTCGGTAGAAAAACTTCCAGGGTTAATAAGTAAAATAGCAGAAATCCAAAACCACGTGGCTGCAATAGCGGTTGCGTGACTTCATTTAATTCTTGAACCCAGCTGTAGAAAGTAAATCATTTCACAATGCTTTTTCAGCATGTCTGATTTGGGAAGGGGGTGGGGTAAACTCTAAATAATAATGGTGCATCTTTTATCGAAACAATGAATCTAGTCAAAGTAGATAAAGTGTTAACTAGAATTCATCTGCCTCACAGGCATTGGGAGGGGTGGGGGGTGGGGGTTTATTGGGGTTCTTCGTGGTGAAAAATAAGTATTGGTAAAGGAAAATGTGTTTGATATTTGCATGACCGAGACCTAAACCTGAAAGCTTTGTAACTTTTCCCACAGTGATTCAATAAATAAATAAATTATAAAGAAAGAAAATATACAATGAATTGATTAAGATTCTTTAAAATTAATTTCTCTTATTTTATATTTGTGTAATAGTACTCAACTATAATAAAAGATGAAATCATGCAATTTGCTGCCATATAGATGGAATGAGAGAGTATCATGCTGAGTGATGTCAGTCAGAAGGAAAGGGGCAGATACAGAATGATCTCTCTCATATGTTGAATGAAAAGAAACAAAGTAAAGAAATAACAATTGGCCAGTGAGAGCAAACCTTGAAAATCAGCCTATAGAGCTGAGGCTGGGCAGGCAGTGAGGGTTGAAGGTGTTTTTGATACACTGGTATTCGGATGCTTACACTCTAGTGGTGAGTGTGATGTGTGACATTAAGATATTATACCCCAGAAACTCCATGATTAGCAGTATTGTAAATCATGTTGCCTAAGTAAAACAGGAATTTGAAAATTAAAAATTAATTTTAAAAAGTTATAGCATTTGTATATTGAGTGTACCTACCTGGAGTAGGCAAACAATCTACTATCCCAAAGATCATGATTCCCTCGAGGTCCAGAATGAAAATAACAGGAATCTGTCCCATCAAACATATTCAATCCATCTTCTGAATTTTTGGAAGCATGACTGTGTACCACATCTAAGAGCACTGTGATACCCATTGAGTGAGCTGTGTCAACAAGTTCCTTTAGTTCTTCAGGGGTTCCATAACGGCTGAAAGTAAAGGAAAACAGCAGAAAACACAATTATGCAAATTATAAAGCAGAAAGCCAGTCATCTACTATGTATCATTATTTTATAACCAGAGTCCAGGATTCTTTAAATATTTTAAATATGCAAATGCAGTACAATAACTAGACTCCAGTCAAACATGTATTTGTTATTATGCATATTTTACAGAATTAAAATAATATAAATCAAACTTCTTAATGCAAATTTATCTTTCAACAAATATGGGCCATCTAAGCGCACCAACAATCCTGGTCCAGAGACTCCCAATTGAATTCCCAAATGGATTATTGCGCTACAGAGATGTCTCTAGAACCCAACCATTTACAACGTAGCATTCGTGCAAAATCTCATGATATTCAAAATTATCAATGGAAAATAAATTATCTAGTGTCTTCCCCTGGCAGGCAAGACTGAATGGTGGTTGGAAATTTTGAGCAAAACATAGTGCCCAAAAAATAGAGAGAGAATATGGAGGAAATTGTCTGCCATAGAGACAGGGTGAGGACTCGGGGATCAGGGTTACTGGGGACATTGGTGGTGGAAAATGTGCACTGGTGGAGAATGGGTGTTCGTTAATTGTATGACTGAATCTCAAACATGAATGTTTTGTAACTGTATCTCACAATTATTCAAAAAATTTTTTTAAAAAATCACATTGTGGGTAGATAGGCAGTAACATTCTATTTCTGAGCTTCTGATTTCCACTCCACAATTAGCCTACCTGGGAGCCAGATCATTCCTATACTCAGTCACCCCTTTGAGTTTAGTAGAGTTTCTTTGAGAATTTGTTTTTGGTACCAGTGATTCAAACCAAATCTCCTATTATTTATTTATTTGTTTATTTATTGGCTTTTTGGGTCACACCTGGTGATGCTCAGGCGCTACTCCTAGCTCTGCACTCAGGAATGACTTCTGGCAGTGCTCAGGACCATATGGATGCTGGGGATCAAACCCAGGTTGGCTGTATGAACGGCAAACACCCTCCCAGCTGTGCTATTGCTCTGGCCCCAAACCTTCAACTATCATTAGTAAGAAAAACTGCCATGTCTCTTTGTTTTGTTTTTTTGTTTGCTTTGTTTTGTTTGGGGGTAGCATCCATAAGTGCTAAGGCCTATTCCTGCTTCTGAACCCAGGAATCACTCCTTAAAAGTGCATGGGGGAACCATATGTTTTTTCAGATAGCAAATCTGAGTATGTCATGTACAAATCAAGCTCCTGACAGCTATACAGTATTTCCAGCCCCTTGTCATATTGTTTCTTATTGGTCAAGCAGAAAATAATGGTTGCTGACATGAATATTTGTTTGGTGAAATGAGGTTTTCTAGTCAGCATAAAATAGAAACCAAAAATAACACGACTAGGTTTCTTAAGTAAAACTGTAATATTACAGCCTTCTATAGCATTAAATCTGCTCTTTAAAAAAATCACCCTTATGATTAACTGTACTCATTGTCTCAGCTTCATTAGATTGCAACTCCTTGCAGGTAGGGACTGTGATTGTCTATTGCTATTTTTTTTTTGTCTTTTATCCCCCCGCGATATGGTATAGTGCTCAGTACATTGCAGGTCTCATGATACAAACCATTAGGCAGCAAGAAGTTGTAAAAGATAAGTCATGTCATTCTCTACTTAAAATGATATTTGCATCCCCATTGTTTGCAGTGGGTGAAATTCACTGTTTGTTATAAGTTTTGTACTGCCTAATCTTGGATCTTCCAATTTATGACTCTCTCATCCTCCAGTTTCTTATGTTATCCACCTAGTTTTCTCTGCAGTGAACAGAATATTTGATAAATGAACAAATCATACATTCAAGCACATTCATTCATTCATCTAACACTGACCTAAAATTTTCTTTTACATCTTAGGCATTCAACAGTGAGGAAAATAAACAGTCCTGCCCTTATGAAATTCACATCCTAGATGGAAGATAACAATAAGAAAAATAGAGAGAATGTCAGAATGCAATAACTTCTCTTTTTAAAAAGTGATGGAAAGTCACTGATGATAAGTGAAGTTTATTTTAGGAAATCACTGGGGAAAGGTTCAGTTTTAGAAAGAATCCCCCCAGAAGAAGAAGGAAGGCATGTGAATAACTAAGGGGAAGAAGTTTCATAGATAAGAGGTCACGGTCACGGTCCTCCGGTTGTTCATCGATTTGCTCGAGCGGGCCCAGTAGCGTCTCCATCGTGAGGCTTGTTGTTACTGTGTTTGGCATACGTGCGGGCGAGATACCCTCAGTAGCTTGCCGGGCTCTCCGAGAGGGGCGGAGGAATCTAACTCGGGTCGGCCATATTGGCTGCGTGCAAGGCAAATGCCCTACCGCTGTGCTAATAGGGAGATATATGAGGTAGGGTCACTGAATCTTTATCAAAAATGTTAGAATAGTTGGAAAGGAAAGATGAAGGGAAAAAAAGAGCCTAAAGAATGAGCCAAGATCTACATAAGGTGTCACAGACCAACAGAAAGTATTCACATTTATTCTAAAGATTTAGGGGGTTGTTAGAAATATATGTCAAATAATGCATTATATTAATTTTAATTTAAAATGGTTATTTTGGCTCCTGGGCATGAATCAGTATGTGTTTATGGAGGAAAAAAACCATTAGAGATGGGATAGAAGAACAAATGAATATATAGAGAACAGTAAAAGAATATTAAAATCTAAGGATGATATAATAACTTGTCCAGATTGGAAGCTATCCAGAGTTGGGGCATATGTTGAAGTTATAGGTGCTAGATTTTATGATCGCTAGATTACAGCAAAATATATGAAAAGGAAACCATGATGAAAAGATTTGGGGCTAGAACCAATGGAATGTACTGATGTCACTATTGAATTAGGGCTGTTGGCAGGTAGGGAAGAGATAGGAAAACAAGATTAGAAATTAAAATTTGGTCACATTAAATTTGAGACATCTAAAACAAATACCCCAATGTTCAACAGATAAGACTTTTAAGTTCACCACCAAGGTAGCACTGTAGCACTGTAGCACTGTCCTCCCGTTGTTCATCAATTTGCTCGAGCAGGCCCAGTAATATCTTCATCATGAGACTTGTTGTTACTGTGTTTGGCATATTGAATACATCACAGGTAGCTTGCCAGGCTTTGCCGTGTGGGCGAGATACTCTTGTAGCTTGCCGGGCTCTCCGAGAGGGGCAGAGGAATTGAACCAGGCTTGGCCGGACCGGCTGTGCGCAAGGCAAACGTCCTACCACTGTGCTATAGCTCCAGCCCACCACCAAGGTAAGCACAGCAAAGTCAAATTTGGGAATACTGTATAAATACATGTAAAACATAAGAAGGAAGAAAATTTGAGGAGATAATCAAGGTTCTCGCATTGTGAACTCGGACAGCCAGACTTTAGAAGTCAGAAGGAGCAAAGGTGATAAAGAAAATTCCAAAAGAGATGTGAGAAAAAGAACAAAGAGGCATAATATTCTGAAAACTAAGGGAAGAAAAAAGCTCTAAGAGAATGAGTGACCAAATGTGCCAAATGATGCTGACAGTTTAAAAACACTAAGAACAAATGACTGTACTGGACAATGTAGAGGTAACCTAAGAATATTTTTGGTGACAAAAACAATGTTAAACAATGTTAACTCACAAAAACTTAATGAGTTTAAATATGTGTGCGTGTGTGTCTGTATATTCATGTATGTATGTATACTCTGCCTTTGGCCAGACCCCAACAACTTGGGGCCAAGTTTACCAAAAAATTCAATGGCAAAAAGTTAGGTATGTGGGAGACACACCCACAAATCACCTCTGGCTCAGCTATATAAGCTCAAAGCCCCCAGGACTGTCAGAGAACCTGGCAAGCTACTGAGGATATCCCACCCATATGGCAGAACCTGGCAAGCTACCTGTGACGTATTCAATATGCCAAAAACAGGAACAACAATGTGCTCTTCACGTTCCTGGAGCGAGCAGATGACATTGGGCTATTATAGCGCATGACAAGGATGAATGGTGATGTTATTGGCACCCGTTTGAGTAATTGATGAACAATAGGATGAGAGATATAGTGATATATGTATACATGCATATATATATATATATATACACCCACCCACACACACACACATGCATATACATACACACATCAGGAGTGGAAAACAAACTGGACTGGCAATAGTAACAAAGTATCATTTTTATTGTTTATTTGGGGGCCACACCTGATGATGCCCTGTGGCTACTCCTGGTTCAGTGCTCAGTTATTCTTACAGGCAATATTAAGGGGACACATACTGCAGAGGTTCAAACCTTGGTGTCCTATACGCAAAACATATGCTCAGCCCTTTAAACTCTTAGTTATCCCAATGAGTAACATTAAATAATTACTACAAAAGAGTCTAAATGGAACACTGCCAATTTTTTTCTGTTTGGTGGGCTAGTCATCTACTCCTAGTTCTCTACCTCCTTCTGTTAACTCTTAAACATGCTTTAGATCTCAGTTCCAGCATAAGTTCATATCTAATGTACACTGATCAGCCCACTGATTTCAACGCCATTATAGTACTCTGTCATTGCCAGGTTAGTCTTAGTTACAGTTAGAAATTATAGGCATGGTGATCAGATCACTGTCTACATGTCACCACACTGTTAAGCCCCAGACACAATGACAACACAAGGTGGGGGGGTTCAACTTGTGGTTACTCAGGTCAGCACTTCTGAAGCACTTCTGAAGACGCAATGACAATACAAGGTGGGGGCATTCAACTTGTGGTTACTCAGGTCAGCACTCACCGTGTGAGTATCCTGCCCAGAAAGTCCATTCCTTGGATTCAGTCCGGGTAGATTAATCCTTCTGTTGGTGTTTTATGTTCCACAAATGATCCCTTCTGTAACCTTCCCATGAAAGTCAATTTATATTCAGAAAAGGATGAGAGCTGTGGCAACAATGGCTGCCGTTAAGACAAGAGTTTTTTTTTTACCAAAGCTTGGGCAACCTTGTACATAACAATTTCAGCAGGTACCGGCTATATTTCATCAAAAATATTTTCACAAGAAGAAATATTAAATCAAGGCCAGTCTCACAGCCTGGATGGGAACAGAGCCTATAACTGCAGTAAAAGAAACTGTTCAGGGCCAAAAAGATAATAGAGTAGGTAGATCCACTTGCCTTGCAGGAAGCCATGTGGTTTGACCCCTGGCACTACCTATGGTTCCCTGAGTCCCTACAGGAGTGATTCCTCAGCACAGGGCCATAAGTAAGCCTTGAGAACTGCCAGAGGTTGCCCCAGCACCGAAACAAATAAAAGAAACTCTTCACTTTCTGTTACCTGTATTAATCATAAAAGAGATCACAGAACACTAGAGACCATAGCTACAATAAAAAAAAAAGAAGAGCACTTGCCTTGCACACAATCCACCTGGGTCCAATTCTCAGCACCCTAAATGGCACCCAGAGCTCTACCAGGAGTGATCCCTGAGCACAGAAATAAGAGCAAACCCTAAGCATTGCTGGGTGTGGTCCCAAAACGAAACAAACAAAAACACCATATGTACATTAAAAAGTGATTTAATAATAAAAAAAATTTGTCTTCTTCTAATATTCAATAGAAGGAACATTTTATTTTACCTTGAAGCTGCAAAGAAGCTTGTGATTTGGTAACCAAAGCTAGCATAGTAGGCATGCTCCATAATCGCCATCATCTGAATGCAGTTATATCCTATGTAAGCAAAGGGCAGATAGGGATTAAAAGTCATATTCACCCAAAGTAACAAAAAATAAATACAAACATGGCATTCTAACATGAAAGGCATTAATGATTTTTAAAACTTCTATTACTTTAACATCTTTAATCAAACACAAAATTGGACAGTTAGTTTTTGAGAGGCTTATTCTGACTATTTAAAAGTTCTCATCATCCCAAGTAATACATGATATGCAAATATATTCCAACTTTGCTTTAGAATATTGAAGATGAAAATCTGTAGATGATAAACTTTAGCTGTATTTGTAACATCATATGAAAAAATGTAAAAATCTGAATAAATCCAAATGATGGCATGTCATAAATTTTATTTTTAATTTCCTTATATTTGGTTATTCTAGCATATAACCAAATCTAAATTTTTTACAATGTGACTTCTACAGTATAGTCCTCATGCTTCTTCCTTCTACTACTTCCTATAAGCATCAAAGCACTTCATAGTTGCATGTATACAAGGATCTACACACACACACACGCACGCACACACACACACACACGCACACACACACCCTTCCACTGTCTATACAAAATGTTTGCTCAACACCAAATGAAAATACATTCTTCGCTGCCAACATCACATAAAGGTAAAAGGTAAAGGCCCTCCCATTGATCGTCGATTTGCTCGAGCGGGCCCAGTAACGTCTCCATTGGAGACTTTGTTGTTACTGTGTTTGGCATATCGAATACTCTCGGTAGCTTGCCAGGCTCTCCGAGAGGGGCGGAGGAATCGAACTCGGGTCGGCCATGTTGGCCGCTTGTAAGGCGAACGCCCTACCCGCTGTGCTATGGCTCCAGCCAACATCACATAACATGCAATTACACTCTCTTTCTCTGACTCACTTTATATTTTTCTTAATGAAATGATATTTTATGTATGTGAAGAAAGTTTTTATTGAAACTTACTTAAAAAAAAATGCTCAGGGAAAGATAGGAAGTATGTGTTCAAGGAGGACCATAAGGTCAAAGAGCAAACCTACATAAGCAATTTTTTAAACAATGAATGAAGTCAGGTAAAATGGTAGATATTTTAATTTTAATCTATGAAATTTGAGGCATGAAGGCATTATTAACTGAAATTATCCAAATAATACATTCGTGAGACTGCTGACCTATTCTTTGTTGCCAAGGACAGGGATCCCACTTCAAACCTGTGACACTAAAGAAACTGATTTACATGTAAGCCAAAAAAAAGAAAAAAAGAAAGAAAGAGAAAAATATTCTCCTAAAAAAGTAAAAAATATATTCAGGTTTTGCTTCTTAAAAAAGTACAACTTGGTAGAATTTTCACATTTGAATGAAATATACACATATATAGATGACTATCATTTGTTCTCAAAGCCCAATTCTTGTCAACATAGCCCCCGAAGTACATATTACAAAAAGTAAGTAATGCTGGAATTAAATACTCTCATTCATATATATATATATATATATGGTTTTTTTTTTTTTGCTTTTTGGGTCATACCCAGCATTATTCAGGGGTTACTCCTAGTTCTGGTTCTGCACTCAGGAATTACTCCTGACAGTGCTCAGGGGACCATATGGGATGCTGGGAATTGAACCCGGGTTGGCCTCGTGCAAGGCAAGCGCCCTACCCGCTGTGCTATCACTCCAGCCCCGTCTCTCATTCATAATTGAATTGAACGACATGCACTAATTGAAAGTATAGCATAAATGCCACAGTTTTTAAACTGCTGTAAAATTTACTGTTGTCTTCCTTAAAAGAAAATCAAAATAATTCTGTCAGGACAAGTAGGATTATGCACATAAACTACTACTCAATTATCATAAAATAATTACATGTTTATAACAAAATAAAGCATATAGCTTCTCTCTGATTTAATAAAACATTCTTAAGATAAAATACCAATTTATATTTTATTATTGTTTGTTATTAATCATTTCTTTTCTCATTTATTCATTAGTTCAGAATACTGGTCTAGAAAATTCAAGCACAAATAAGAATGAGAGAATATCCTGTTCTGCCAAATCTTCAGTACAGAATGAGTTATAAAAAATTTTATTAAGCATAAAATTGTATAACATTTAAAATCTATGACATTTGATATAAATTATATGAAGGCACATAATTTTCCATATAAGTACTTTCGGTATCTAGAACCTGAATTTACCAACACATACTCCAAATCACTCATACAATGACTTTAAACATGAATCACTAATCTTTGCTCTACCCAGAGTTGGAACTGTCAAGTAGACTAGAAATTAGTGTTTATTAACTTTCTGTTTTGTTACAAAACATGTACTTACTTTTAAGGGCTACTAAATTATATTTAAGGAGTGCAGTAGTACAGCAGGTAAGCCGCTTAAACCTTGCATGCGGCCAAAGGTTCCATCCCTAACTTCCCTCATGGTCACCCACGCTTGCCTGGTGTATTTAGTATAGCACTGCTCTGTAGCACTGTTCTCCCATTGTTCATTGATTTGCTCGAGCAGGCCCAGTAACGTCTCCATTGTGAGACTTGTTTTTACTGTTTTGGGCATATCAAATACGTCACAGGGAGCTTGCCAGGCTATGTCATGTGGGTGAGATACTCTCGGTAGCTTGCCGGGCTCTCCGAGAGGGGCGGAGGAATCGAACCTGGCTCAGCCAGGTAGCAGCAAGCAAGGCAAATGCCCTACCGCTGTGCTATCACTCCAGCCTGTGTTTAGTGTAGGGCCAGGAAATAGACCTGAGCTCTCCTAAGTGTGGACCAAAAACAAACAAAATTATTTTTTAAAGGATTATCTATATAAAAAGGAAATTAATAGTTCTAAAGCATACTGTTTCAATAATTCAATATAGTCTATTTTCTCTCCTGGTTAATCTCATGGAGACAGAGTCCATGTTATTAAAATCCAGGACACAAACATAGTGAACAATAGAAAGCACAAAGAATACACACAGTAATATTAGTCAAATAAGTTTTCTAAATGGGAGCAAACTATATGATGACTGACACAAAATAAGTTTCGGTCACCTTACAGATATAAGAATTTCCCCCCTAACAAACTAAAATGAACAGGCTATAATCAATGCCCTCTTATGCTGATAAAATATCTCTTCTGTAGAAAGTAATTATGCTTACATATTTATCTGGAATTTTGGGAGCCATCAGTTCACATTACTTAAAATTGAAACTGGAATAATCTCTTTAATTCTTATGCTCTATCTTACTCTATTTCTCTTTTCTATGCTATCACTATTAGAGGGCAATTTGAGAAGCCTAAAATAAAATGTATTTCTATTACATAATTAATCTCTTAACACAAAAAAGACACTTGTAATTAGCTTTTCTAATAAGAGAACAGTCTCATTAAAATTTTATCTGAATAAAAATCACAGTTATTACTTACCAAGGTCTTTGATTCTTGGTAGTACATTGCATGTAAAATGTTTATAAGAAGCTATTTTTCCTTCTTGGGAAGAAATTCCCACATGAGATTCATAAATTCTCAGACTTCTTGGCTTTGCTGGTCTGAAATTCTTAAACTGCAGAATACACAATTAGGTCCAGAATTAGAACAGAAATGCAGGTAGGAAACTAATTAAGCATATTAAAAGTAATGGTGAATTCAGTCAAACACTTTGAAACTGTTTTTCATGTATAAAAGTGACTGGCTACTATCATTAAATTTTCTTAAAAAAAAAAAATCTTCTTAGGGCCGAAGCAATAGCATAGCTGGTAGGGTGTTTGCCTTGCATGTGGCCGACCCAGGTTCGATTCTTCCACCCCTCTCGGAGAACCCTGTGAGCTACCGAGAATACCCCGCCTGCAAGGCAAAGCCTGGCAAGCTACCCATGATGTATGCGATATGCCAAAAACAGTATCAACAAGTCTCACAATGGAAACGTTACTGGTGCCTGCTAGAGCAAATCGATGAATGAGAAGACAGTGCAGTGCTACAGTGCTTAGAATCATAATAATGAACCTATTTTAAAAGACTGCTTATCTAATGGCATATGCCTTATACCCAAGCAAAGATATATTTTAAGCATAAGTCTTGGAGAAAATGCAAGAGCCAGGAAATGCAGACATAACTATTACATGGGAAGTCCTTATAGCAGGTTCAAAAATTAAAGAACAGAAAAAAGAGTTCAACAATAAATATGCTTATTAGTAAGACAGTCTCAAAATGTCTCAAAATAATGTAGTCATATGATATCGTCCTGAGTCTGTGTTACTAAGGTATTTTTTTTTTTAACCTATGAGAGTGAGACATGTTATGTAACTGAAAAGACTTGAGTGGATCAGACTGGTGCTTTTAAAAAAGAAAAAAATGTATCCTCTATAGGTCTTTTTATATTATTATTATTATTATTATTATTATTATTAATTTAGTACTTTTTCTCCTAAAGTCCCAGAAACACATGATGAAACAAAAACTCACTTTCAATGTTTAGTGACTATGCATAATAGACACTGATATGTGTACAGAATGATGGGGACACATCCCTGTGAATTAGAAACAGGCAGTGGAGAGAACTGTACAAAAAACAATGTGAAACTAAAAATAATTTTCCTTGAAATATTGGAACATGCATTTATTTAAAGATTTATTGTTCTCACCTTATATGAATGCTCTGGATCCCAATGTATCCAATCATAATTCACATTATCACCTTCACGAGCCACATATTTTGCCCACGGTGAAATTCGATATAAAATTTCCCCACTCTTATTCCTAATGACTACCTAAAAAAGAGAATGAGAACTACTGTTTTAAACTATTTTCAAAATCCTAAAATATTGCCTACAAATTCATGATCATTGCTACAAGAAAAGGAGGAGAGGATCTTAAAAATGTACTGTCTTGACTTGTGCCCCTAAAGATGTGAGCATTCACTATGCCTTACTTTCACTATTTTTATAGAAAATAATCAGTGCTTATAGCTTGAACATTTTATGAGTTTTTTGCCATTTTACTTACAAATACATAATTCAGAGATCTCTAAAGAAACTGACTTTTTACAATTCACAGGTTTTAGTGAGGGGAAATGGGTCATTAATGCATACGGGAAGCAGAACACAAAGAAGTTAAAGATCAATCCTAAGAATATGGGCTGGAGCCATAGCACAGAGGGCAGGGCGTTTGCCATGCACGTGGCCGACCCTCTCGGAGAGCCCCCTGGTAAGCTACCAAGAGTATCCCACCTGCACTGCAGAGCCTGGCAAGTTACCCGTGGCATATTTGATATGCCAAAAAGAGTTACAACAAGTCTCACAATGGAGATGTTACTGGTACCCACTAGAGGAAATCGATGAATAACGGGAAGACAGTGGTGCAGTGCTTGCCATTTCCATCCATGAAAACCAATGTTTAGAGTGATGAATTACAAGAAATATGAAGTGTTCAAAAAATAAAAATATTTGAAAGTTATTAACAAAACTTTTAACAACTGGATAAAACAATACTGTTATGCCAAAAAATAAAAAAACAAATAAAACTGAATTTTATCACCATGTTGCTCCAAAGCATACAGCGGAGAGCATTTGCTTTGCACATGGTCAGCCTGGCTGACCTGGGTTCGATTCCTCCGCCCCTCTCAGAGAGCCCAGCAAGCTACAGAGAATATCTCGCCCACACGGCAAAGCCTGGCAAGCTACCTGTGACGTATTCAATATGACAAACACAGTAACAACAAGTCTCACAATGGAGATGTTACCGGGCCTGCTCGAGCAAATCGATGAACAATGGGAAGACAGTGCTATAGTGTTACAGAAGAAAAATGGGTCTGGATGAATGCTTACAATGTGTACACACAAACAAAAACACAAACTAACAGGAGAATAGTTTCTTCTCCATCTCAGGTATACCCTACTTGAAGAATGCTTTACCGTATATATCAAATAACTTTTGGCTAAGGGTATGGCTCAGTTCGAGTATGTTTTACATGCCTGTAGTCCTTGATTTGATCACTGCCATCAAAAACCAAACATTTTGCACTTAAACCCCCATGCCTGCATATGACAGTAACATCACTATTGGTGTTCTAATGAAAAATGAGAAATGGAATGAAAATAAAGTTTTTGGTTGGATTGAACATTTTATTTGTCTTTGAGTGGATGTAGGGGGTGACACTGGGACACAGGAGATGGTATTCATGGTCTACTCCTGACCCTGTTCTGGGACCATATATAGATGTCAAGAATGTTAGCCTCTTGAAAGGCAAGCACATTATCCTCTATACTGTCTCTAACCCTAGAACTGATATTTCAAACCTAGTAATGAATGTCAGTTGAATTTCCCTCCCCGCCCCGAGCAGAGCTCCAGCAGCTGAAGACCTCCTGAACCAGCCACAACCGTGCTGACACCATTCTTCACACGCATAAAGGTACCAGCAGAGGAACAAAGGCATGCAGGTCCCGGGGCTGAGATCTCCAATTCTGCTCGGATTGGGGCTGAGCATCCTCCACCAGATCCTCCGTCTTCCAGTAAGTGGGGGTCACACCAACTGCCCCCCAGTGCTGTGTAATTCCATCAACAGACAAGACTCAGAGACTATAAAACCCAGCTCCCAGAAGCACGACATCTTATTATCTCATTCTTACTTTGGACAAACTGGCAGGCTACTGAATGTAACCTGCCCACACAGCAGAGTCTGGCAAACTCCCTTTGGCGTACCCAATACGCCAAATACCAGTAACAATGATGGATCTCATTCTCCTAACCCTGAAAGAACCTTGAATATGGCACTTTTTAAAATCTCAGGACTGGGACGAAGGAGACGTTACTGGTGCCTGCTCGAGCCAATCGACAAACAACAGTATGATCATGACTGTGATCGTGAGTATTGAATATAGAATTTTTGAAATGGTCAGCATATTTAAATACAAAAGTGAGTAAATTTTCATGTCCTCCCTGCTTAAAATAAAAGAAGTAGACTTAGAGTTCTTGTTATGCTTTCAATATTGAGAGAATACATTCTGCAATCAATTTTTTTTTTTGAGGGACATAGACCTTGCTTTGCTCACAGCTTATTCTTGCTGTGTTCAGAGCACACTTTGTTCTGTTCAGATTGCTGGGAATCGAACCTGGGTCAGCACAAGTAAAGAAAGTGCCTTACCCTCTGTACTCTACCTCCAACCCTGCAATCTCTTTTTGTAGAAAGTAGTTCAAGTGTGCATAATTCTTGTAATTAATAATAGGTAATTATTGGTAATATATGTATAATGCTTTAAAGCGTATTAAGCACTTTCATAATCATATCTGACTTCATTCTGGAGACTCTTTATAGCCTAAGTATTAAGTGAGATTAGTGAATTGTTGAAAGTTCCAAAGTCACCAAGTAGCTAAGCCAAAAGCTCAGCTATAGAACTTCTGACATAATTTTTCTTTTATTATTTTAACAGGCTTTCATAGCACTTATTTTAGGCACTAACAAAGAAAATCATGATAAATGATGCAGAATGAGGTAAAAAAAAATGACAAATTTACACTGACTGGATTTTTTTCCTTCTATTGTCTCCCATTTATTGAAACAAATCATAGTCAAGTGTTATGATCCTCATAATAATCACCGGAAAAAATCATAAATATATCAACCTGTATAAGGAGTATTTTATCCCCAAAGATATGAGCCTTATGAATTTCCAGAATGTTACATCTGAGTAGAGATTTTTTTACTTATTCATCAACTTGGAGTATACTACAAGGAAATAAAATATTATTAGTCACTTTTCAATAAATAGCACTCTGCCTAATCCATCCATCTTTTCTCTCAAACACAAATGGCTCTTCAACCATCTTAAATAATGATTATAAACTAATAATTATTTCAAAGGTATCTATTGGGAGAGAGAGTATTTGAGACTCTAAGAACATAAAGTTTCCTCATTCTGAATGTAATTTCCGCAGTCTTTTAAATCTTGCTTTTCTTTTAAGCAAGAAACTTTTAGATCTTACTTTTTATTTGTCTGTTTGCTTGGATTTGGGGGCCACACCTAGTGGTGCTCCGGGAGTACTCCTGGCTCTGTACTCAGGAATCATGCCTGGTGGGCTCAAGTGACCACATGGGATATGGGGGAACAAACCTGGGCTGGCTGTGCACAAGTCAAGTTCTGTATTCATGAATATATTTTGACTCATGTGTTTTGGGGACACAATGAGTTCCAGTCTTTTGTACCACCTCCTTGCCCCACCAATGTCTCGAGGTTACTGAGTCATGATTGGTGGAAGGAACCATGGGTTTCCCATACATGAGTTTTAGAAAAGTGTCAGAAAGAACTGCTTAGTGCACTAAAAAAACAAGGTCCTGCCAAAACCCATCTCTCAGGGCTGTGTTTGAAGAAAGGAGTCTTGAAAAAAATGAGAGGACATCTTCCTTAGAGAAAATGCTCACCCATTGCTTGCTGTGAAAGAGGAGATCCCAAAGCTGCTGCGTCCTCAGCTGTGGTGCAAAATAATTTTGTAAGTAACATCTATCTGGACCATATAGTCCCTTCTTAGGGAACTGGAGATAAGAAGAATCCATGCCAACATAGTACTTACACTGTTTTCTATGCTGTGTTTCTAACACAGATGCCTGATGTTATCTGCCAGATATAGGGAGCAATAGCAAGTTATAGCAAGTTAATTTATATGCTTGGAGGAAGGTAAAATCAAATTCTACACCTACCAAAGGATTATTTGATCGTCCACTGAATAACATCAAAATTTTGTTTCCATAGTTCTGTTTCTCTCTTTCCTAATGATCATTTTTATCATTGGTATACTACCTTAGGGTGAAATCTTTTAATATCCCATTCCTCCTACTCAAAATAGAATAATAGAACAGGTCCCTGGATGGTACGTGAGCAAGGCTTCTGTCCAAATCTGGAACACTTTTCTGTGATCATTACATGAAAGATAAATTAATTTATCTGTTCTCCAGGCCTCTGAATTTTGAAAGTAACTTTGTTATAATAGTTTAGACTTTCATAATCAATATAGTTGCCTAAAGTCCTAGAATTGTGACATCAACTTGCTTTTGATTTGCTGTTCCCGAAATGTTATATGAACTGGCTAAAAGTATTATAATGAATCTAAGGAGAGGTATGCCAGTGAGTAAAGAATACAAACTTTCTCGGTGAAATTTTGCTCATAAAATTTTTAATTTGCTTGTGATAAGGGAAAACTGTATCTAAGATTTCTGATTCCTTGAGTTCAGATTCAGTTAAAAAATTAGATGAGTTAATACATTTTATTAATGAATTTACAATCTCAAAGTAGCACATAAGGAGCCAACGAGCTGTACAATAGAAGTCACCCCTTGAACACACAGCTGACCAGAGTTCAGTCCTTGCACCCAATATCCTTCCCCCAGCCCGCCAGGAATGATTACTGAGTGCTGAGCCAGGAGTAATCCCTGAGCATGGCTGGTTTTGTACCAAAAACAAACTAACAAATAAAAAATAGGCATGTGTTGAAAAGAAAGAAGTAGCTTGACTGGTCTTTCAATAGTAAAAAATCTTAACAAAGACTAGTAAAAGAAACTCAATTGGTACTATTAAATAAAAAAGTGTTACACATACTGTACTATAAGACTAAAATACTGTGACACTTTACAATACTAATTTTGGCAACATGCATCATTATAATTTTTTTTAAAAGGAACTCTCAGTAATTCGTCAAGGACCATGGAGAGAAAAAGAAAGATATTCCATATCTATTTATCTATCTATATTTTATCTATTAATCTGCTAACAGTAAATAA